TAGCCAAAACTTAAATTTTGTTTCAATATGAGTGTTAGATAACCAATATATATCCAAGACTAAAATCAATATGAGTGTAGGATAACCAAAATAAAAGCATTTTTTAGCCAAAACTCAAATTTTGTTTCAATATGTGTGTAAGATAACCAATATATAACCATTTTATACCCAAAAATAAAATTTTGTTTCAATATGGCTGTTAGATAACCAATATATAACCAAAACTAGTATCAATATCAGTGTAAGATAACCAAWATAGAACAAATGTATAAGCATTTTATAGCCAAAACTCAAATTTTGTTCCATATGAGTGTTACATAACCACTTATATAACCAATATATAAGCATTTTATAGCCAAAACTCAAATTTTGTTTCAATATGAGTGTCAGATAACCAAAATATAACCATTTTATAACCAAAACTCAATTTTTTTTTCAATAAGAGTGTTAGATAACCAATATATAACCAAGACTAAAATCAATATGAGTGTAAGATAACCAAAATATAACCATTTTATAACYAAAACTCAAATTTTGTTTCAATTTGAGTGTAAGTTAACCAATATATATCAATTTTATAACCAAACTCAAATTTTATTTCAATATGAATTATTTTTATTATAACGTTTTTCCTTCGCCTGTAAACTTATGAAAAATGGTGTTAGGTTCTTACGCATTTTAGGTGACATATATATATGTATGTGGTATATACTATTTTTTATTAATTAAAAATAATGAAGGAAAACATTACAACGGATAAAAAGAAAAACCGTTCAATGATGGGATTCGTGAGCCCGTAAAGAACTTGCCTTTTGAAGCGCCCACAATTCAAGATCAATAATATCGAGAAACAGAAAGAAATTGTGATTGCAGTCAATGCTTGGTACTATTATATGAACCCAGAACGTCGACTCTTCTAAACATAAGGTAAGGTATCTTACTTACATGGTTGTCAATCGAACAAACAAAAACTTAGCGAGCAGAGATGTAGCAAAAAGAAGCTTTTGCTTCATAACTAGTTTTCTAAATAGTTTAACAAACGAGTTCCCAAAGGGTGGAAGTATAGTGTGCTATGTTAAGGCCTYTTCTCAACTTTGAACTCTGCAACWGACGRCAGAGTGTTGTTRAAGGAGAAATTTTCAGAAATAAATRTAAAACTACATACACACCTGTAYATGAACAATACATTTCAAGTACGAGTATATGGATCCATTATTTGGCTGCGATTCGCCAAGCATTGGAGAGTAGTGAATCGAACAAACTACAGTAAAATATAGCAACCRTAGCTGAGAGTATACACGAAGGCCGTGAGTAATCGATTTGGCGCCGTTTGCAGCAACTTGGACTAACATATGGAACGACTTGGCGYATTTTAMGTCGAGATCTTACAGCTTGTGCAAGAACTGAAGCCGCTCGGCCTTCCCAAGTGACATCGCTTTGCTCTATGGGCTCTTGAAAAGTTCTAAGAAGATCTGACGTTTTCGAGCCAAATTTTGTTCAGTGATTTGGCTCATTTCTGGCCTTTCATTGTCTCAATGGGTATATAAATAAGCAAAATTGCCGCATTTGGGACGAATAGCATCTCGAAGAGATTTTATTATTGACAATACGGACTTTAAAAACTTATGAGAAACACGCTAAAAAATTCTGTTACTGAAATTATCAGTGCATTAAAATGATAAAAAATATGGAAAAATTTAAAAGCACTAAAGAATTTAAATTTTAGTTTATACTTTTTAAGATTTTCATTTCAGGTTTTCTTTATTACGGTTTGGTGTTGGTCAAATTGGCATTTATTGGATTAACTATATTAATTAATTAAAATTCAATTACTTTAGGTCGTTATAAAGTACAGTTCTCGTTAATGTTACGTAATTACATTTTCATTTTTTAAAAACAATCGATTTTATATTAACTTCAGAGTATAATTAATGAATATGTACCGGTAGGGACTACTAATTAGATTTACATAAGTAAGCATCTAAGTGCCTACTTAGCAATTGCTACAATTATAGCATTATTTAGAAAGTACTGAGTAGTAGTTACTATGTTGCTTAGAATCTTTGTTGTAATTTAGAAATTTTGCTTCTTTATGTTGTTGTATTTGTTGTTGTAAATATGGAGTTTTGAAAATTTGTGTTTTTTATTTCAGAGTTGCTTTGGAGTAGTAAGTGCTTTTAGAACATACTTTTTAGTACTTGTTGCATGTAATAAGTATTTTTCGCCTGCAGCTTGACGCCGTTTGTATGCCACACAGCAACTTAATACTTTTTGTGTGGAATTGTGCACCTTTTATGTAGTTTTAGTACTTGCTGCGTGCAGTTTTGCTAACACTTTTTCATGAAATTTAGTACTAACCGTTTACATTTTAGTACGAGCTATTGGTTTACTATCTGATTCAGTATAATCTTGCTCATATTGTATTACTTTTATACTTACTTTTCTTGTACTGAGTTTAGTACGCTTTGTTTGGAATTTAGAATTTTCTTGCTTAAAATTTAGTACTTTTGCTAATGTTCATGAAACTTTCTAGCCTGATATTATACTACTATAAGCAAAAAATAGTAAGACTTTGTTCATAATTTTAAAATTCTTAATTTTTCTTCAATATCTAATTCGTCCCCCTCCAAGTAGTTCCCATTAGCCACAAAACTCTTGTGCTAACGTTTTTCCAATCCTCGAAACAGTTGTTAAAGTCAATTTCTTGAATAGCCTTTAATGCGCGTAGCCATTCACGTATAATGTCTTCAATTGACTCAAAACAGTTTCCCCGTAGCGATTGTTTGAGTTTGCTGAATAGCCATTAGTCAAACGGATCTAAATTAGGCAAATGTGATGATTGTGGCACGATATTGGTTGAAAGTTTGGCGAAAAACTCACAAGGAATCAATGCATTAAGCGACGCGGCAAGAGTTTTCGGTCCATAATTCTAGCCTGTTTTTAATAATAGCTTCATATACATCTCTATAATCGAAGAAAACTTTTAATATAGCCTTTGTTTTTGTGCAGGTTTGACGTGGGTTTTCGGCTTTGGCTCATCTTTGCCCAATATTGAGTCGATTGATCGTCTGTTTTCGGGTCGTAAGTATAGTTACAAGACTCATCGCTAGTAATAATATGTTTCATGACATTCTGGTAGTCGGAAAGCATTGTTTCATAGACGTTAACGTAACGTTGATTTTCGAAAAAATTTAGTGATTTTCGAACCAATTGTGCCTTAATTTTTCTTAGACCGAAATTATATTTCATGACGAGTTTTATTGATCCGTATACTAAACACCAATGATTACGCTGATGTGACATTTAGCGCAAATGTCACTAACAGACATACCAACAAAATAATACTTAGAGCGAAATTTATATTAAAAAGTCTTACTATTTTTTGCCCACTGAGTTTATGTTTGGTGATGTTTTGAAAATTTATTATTTTAGAACTTTATGGTTACAATTTAGTGTCTTTTATGTTTAATTTAGTTTATTTTGTAAGAAAAACTCTCGTACTTCAGTACTTTCTTATAAGGTGTAGTAATATAATACATATTGAGTACATATTGCTCGTAGTTTTGTACTTTCGCAAGCCATTTATTACTTTTAGTACAAAATTTAGTACATAATTTTATTTAGTACCTTTTGAAATGCACTTTGATACTTAATTTGTTTAAAGCGAACTTTAACGTGATTTTTGGTAATTTTAGTACAAAATTTAGTACTTAATTCTCCTCAGTACATATTGAAATGTTTTTTGATAACTAATGTGTGCAATTCGCAATTTAACGTGGTTTTTAGTAATTTTAGTACAAAATTTAGTACTGTTGATTTAGTGCTTAGTACTCTGCTACATTTTGCATGCAAATTGTTAGTTTTAGTTTATGATTCTAGTACATAATTAAGTATCTTTTGCATTCATTATTGTATGTAGCACTAAATTTAGTACATTCAGATGACCTCTCTAGACTTTAGTACATTACTTTGTTACATGCATGTTCCATGTTTGTTTCAGCTCTTTTAATATACAATTTCGTAATAATTGCAAGCAATTTAGTACATTTTGGTACTAATTTTGTAACAATTGCAAGCAATTTAGTTCCTTTTAGTACTACTTGATAACTTTTCGCATGAAAACAAGTACATTTTGTCTGCACTTGAGTCTTTTCAGCCCATAATTGCACTTTTTATTGTTATTTAGTGTTGCTTCGCGTTATATAGTTATGTCTTTTAAGCTGTTTTTTTGTTGAAATGTGTAACTAACATTTCTTTAATATTGTTGATAGCTCCCTTGCTGTCATACATTAGCATWTCATAACCTCACTTCTTGCAGTTGCCATCATTTGCGATGAGTAGTTCCTTAGCTTCCTTTTTGCCCTTCTTCTTCTCCTCCTTAGCAATCAGCTTCGCTAAACGTTCCTCTTCCTTGGCGAGACGCTTCTCTTCCTGCAAAATTAGAGTTATAAATAACAAAGGGAAGAGAGAAAAACGATTACTTTTTGCTACAGKAGCGGTAATGAGTCGTATGAGCGCAAATTACATAGTAATTATCTACTTGAAAGTAGTAACTTTAACTCTTAGAACCTCAGTGTAATGAATACAGTACAAAAAAATTTACGTTAGCTAGCTAAGTAATTATAAGGATATATACTGAACTGATATAGTTATATATGTATATTTATGTTTTCAGAAAAAAAACTTCATCTGCCAACGAACTCTGTTTACACACAAATAATTCCTAATTGCTAGTTATTATCGTATGTGTAATTAAATAGTTAATTATTAGAAAAAAATATATGACTACTCTATATGTAACGTGAAAACTTTATATTATTGTTGTKGGTTGTTGTTAAAAGTTTTCTATTGTTGTAATTGTTTCGTATGTGAGCCAATTAGCCATTGTACGTTCATTCACACACATTCATTCAGCCACTCAAGTATTGTTGTATTGTTGTCGTGAAGTTGTTGTAATGCATGCGACATGCTACACATAGAAAACCATAAAGTTTTGAATATCAAACAAAAGCAACTCTGTGTATGCGGTGCATGTGGCTTTACGCCTATTTGTCCTTTCCAACAGTCATACAAGCATACACGGCAACATCGGGCGCACTTCCTGCTAGCTATGATATTTGATAGTGTGTGGGTGTGTGGCACATTTTGTGGCGGTTGTTGTCGGTTACAAAAGCACGTAAATAAACCAAAGGATAAAGTTGAGGGAGAAAAGGAGCTCCCAACACACATTTAACGCGAGCACTAAAAAACAATGAACTGCTGCTGAATATAATAAATAACAGTAATAATATAAATGGCATACGATTGAGCAAATGAAAGGCAACAACACGCGGCTAAACTAAGAAATGTATGAGCAATTAAGTTTTAGTAAAATTTAAAAATGAAAATGGTATCGAATGAGTAGTTAAAGAGCGGAGAATGATGAAAAAGTTGTGATTAAAAGGAGTGTAAAACAATGACACGAAGAATACAAAACCGAAATTACCATTAAAGTTAACAGAATATGTATGTATATAGACATCGAGGAATTACGAAAAAGTGCTTCAGATAGTTTACTTCCTTTAAATCTATTGTTTGAAATGAAAAATAATTTATTTGGTATATAAAAAGAGGCAGAACGAGTAAGAGATAAAAAATAGCTTTGAACTAGAAAACAATACAAACATTTATGTGAGCAGAAATATAAAACGCATAAATTGAAAGATAAAATTATTAAATAATACGTAATGAAAATGGCTAAAGAGTAAAATTTAATTATGTTAAATACCCAAACACAATGGAAAGATCGAGGACGCAGAACTGCCATCACAACAGACAGCCGGACGATTTTCTTCTGCTGCTCTCTGAAAGCATACATCGGCAACTCGATATAAATTAACTGTGGGACGGCACTTTAAGCTCTTTATGTAATACTGGATTGGTTTTCGGAAAGGTAGAAAGAACAGCTGGTACGACGAGGTGTGTCATGTCACAGCGAAGAGAAAATAGACAGCCTACCTCGCAACTTTACAATCGACCATAACACAGGTGGGATGGGATATATACCGAGAGCTGAAGAGGAAAGCGAGCCGCATTTGCAGATAAAAAACGAGAGAGACCGAAATGCGTAAATACGAAGAACTTGACAAGCTGGTAAACTGGGGTACAGAAACGGAAAATTCTTCGAAAAAATGTGGCGACTATMAKAAGGTTWSAAGACTGGACCATACTACAAAGGAATCCTCAAAGATGATCTACTTACTAATGTCCCCAGCTTGCTAAAATATGGAGGGAATACTTCATCGGTTTGCGGAATGGCAGCGAAAGTATAATAATAAGAGATGAACCATTGCCCGACCATGAAGAAGTTTGAATACCAATTACCCGTCTAAAGAACAACAGAGGGGCGGGGCCGAGCTATTWAAATACGGCGGCGAAGAACTGATAAGGTGTATGCATCAACTTCTTTGTTGAATATGGTCGGACGAAGACATGCCTGACCATTGGAATTTTAGTGTATTTGGCCTTATACCTGGAAGACCTCACAATCTGCTCCAACTACATACGAGGGATAAGCTTCCTCAACATATATGGGAAATATTTAAGCTTATTGCCAACAAACTGGCTGCACCTTGTCGGAGTGGCTTTAGGCCTGGAAAATCTATTACCGACCAGATTTTCATTATGCGCAAAAATCTCGTGATAAAAGGAACGATACCACAACTTCGACAATTTCAACTCTGCTATTGACAGCACGAACAGGAACTGCCAATGCGCCGCTATGCCTAAACTTGGTATCCCCGCAAAACTAATGCATCTCTGTAAACCGACTTTGAACAATACCAAAAGCTCTGTCAGGATCGGGAAGATGCTCCGTTCGATGCCAAACGAGGTTTCAGACAAGCCGACTGTAACCGTACGTGCGAATTTTTCTGAATTGAGAAGGTACAAACTTCTATAATAGTGGCGTATGACGTATCATTGGCCTCAACAACCGCGTCGTTAGTTCTGTTTTTTCCAGACTGGATAAGAAAGCAAAGCAAATGGGTCTGGTAGTCAATAAGGGCCGCACGAAATATCTCCATATCCTATCATCAAACAAACAGTCGTCATACTCGCGACTTGGCTCCCACGTCACTGTTGACAGTCATAAATTTAAATCGTAGATAATTTCGTCTATCGTGGAACCAGCATTAACATTAATAACAACTTCAGCCTCAATATCCAACACAGAATAACTCTTGGCAACAGGTGCTACTTCGGACTGAGTGGGCAATTGAGAAGTAAATTCCTCTCTCCTCGAACAAAGATCAAACTCCACTAGTCACTCATCATCCCCGTCCTGCTATATGGTGCAGAGGCATGGACAATGACAACATTATCGCAGTCGATGGAACGATGAGCTGTACGAGATATTCGATGATATTGACATAGTTGGACGAATTAAGAGACAGCGGCTGGAAAAACTCTGGCTCTGAAAGAATTCGACGCAGTGCCCGCCGGTGGAAGCAAGACACTTGGAATGGCGATTGGAGTTTGGCGCCAAGCAGCGAAAACGAAGAACGACTGGCGCGCTGTTGTAAACACGACTATAACCACATAAGCGGTATTTACGCCAGAAACTCTTACAAAATTAAATACTAAACGCCAAAACAGTTTTGTAGAGCTTATTTTCCAATGTTAGTTTCTTTGGCATGTGACTTTTAATAAAAATGGGACGTTTATATCAGATCAGATAAGGACTTTCATCACTAGTTTGCGATTTATTCAGCAAATAAAGAGTCTAATCTTTGTGTGAGCATTAAACAAAGTTTTATGGTATCTGAAGTGCGAATGAGAGTTGTTATCGTACTTGCTATCGGTTCATTGAGTATTAAAAGAAACTTTTATCTGGCTTCTTATTGGGTTATAGTAATAGTCCCTCGCAGACACTGAAGAACCAAGAAATAATAAGCGACCTGAAAAATCTGGTTTCTACTTTTGAAGCTTGGAGTTTTTTTCTCGCAARAATARAAGGTTTTTGATRTCTTCCGCAGGCGTAGAAGTCCATTATACATATATAATATTAATATTATTGATATATTTAGACCTATTAAGGTATCTACCTTATTATAAACACCAAACATATAGTAAATGTAGAGCTATTTCACACGAAATTCGAAAAACTACATAAAGGTGCATTAAAATAACTGAAAGAATATAACAACGTTGAAGCAAAATTTGAAGGTAGAAAAATAAAGTGAAAAAATAAGAGCAACTCAACAATGAAAATGCAAGCTGTGTGTGATAGACCAATTACCGACATTACTTTCCAGGCAGCCAAACCACCATACAAGCATAATAACCCACCACCGACACCAACACCACCACCATTACGACCACCATCGACGTTATGTGCATCATCTTCATCTTTATTATCATCCTCATAATCATCATCATCATCATCACCACCAACATTTTTTATAATATTTTGCTTAGTATTTTTGCTATGTTCATCTTTACAAACACCGTTAGTTCGTGGCGTCGCTGTAGCGTCACGTTCACGTACACCCACCTTTCTCGCTTCCTTTTCCGCTTTCATTTTAAGTTTCTCCTCCTTCTTCTTACGCTCCATAGATTCATTCTTCTTATTGTCGGCTTTCTCCTCTACAAAATGTGAAACAAAAGAGAACAAAGAAATGTATAGTACTCGTATATATATACATATATATTATATATGTAGAATGAAGATGAGTTGGAGAGTGTGCGGAAATTATTCAAATTATCTGTCATCACATGTAAATAGAGGCGGTGATGGAAATTACTCTACTATTTAAAAGTTTCCTGATAAGGGTTATTACACTGTTCTTATTGTGGATATTTGAAAAACTTTGTGAAGAGTGACAGATCGAAAGACAGTTTAAACTTGAGACATTCTGGAACGTATCGCGTTCAATGGCAAAACAGAGGCGGAGAGATAATATTGTGTACTTATATATTAGGTGAGAGGACGGTGTGATAACATATTTGTAAAATAATGAAGAGTAATCCAGAATGCGGTACTTTTTAGACAACCCGAGATTAGAGCTTCCATAATTTTAGATGTTAGCGCAGTACTTCAGCTTAACCCTAATATTTTGGAACCACATATCATATCATCCAACTGGGCCAAACAAATTCGGTTATCATTGAGCGGTAGCAATTTCCATTCATCGTAACGCCGGGGTATTGGTCATCATGGATGAATTAAGGAACAATGACGCCGCCGGCCCATGAACCGCACCAAACCAACGTAATTCAATGGTGACTCATGCAGTACATGTGGATGGGTGTCTGATCAATAACGCACATTTTGCTTATTGACGAAATGAGTCAGAAAGGAGCCTCATCGCTGAAGATGATTTTTCGATGAAAATCTGGAAGATTTTCAAGTTGCTGCTCAGCCCAATTCACGAATATAGGACTATTGTGGTGGTCAAGYAGCTTCAGTTCTTGCATTAATTTGAYCTTGTCAGGATGTAGGCCAAGATATTTTCGTAAAATTCGCCACAACAACGTCAAARAGATGCTCAACGCTTGAGAACGRCRTGTGAGAGACAGATTTGRSTCCTCCTCAATTGATGATMCTAGCGGYAGCAATATTCCCACACTACGGGCACTTCTTTGTCTCACTGGCACGGGAATAYTTTGTGCTGTAGMTATGCATTGAAATTTTTCCACTAGACGCTCGATTGTTGATCTGACACGACGATTATGACGACCATAAATTGGAYATAGCGCTCTTAAAGTTGAGGCCCACTGAYTTCGAATTTCGGTAGTAAATATTAATAATTTCGAAACGTTGTTGGATCATATATCTTTCCATGATGAAATGGCAGATTYCACTGAAGAGAAATTTCAAAAGAACGGGAAAAAATATGACGTTGCTTGCTGTTCCTATCGGTCTACTTTTGTAGCATTCCTATTGAAAAATCTGTTAACTATAACGATGATTCTCTTCACAATAATCATATAGTAATTCATACAGAAAATAAACCAGTGATAAAAATATTTGCTTGGAAAACTTGAAAAATGGATATACAGGTGTCGTATGAGTACCTTCTTTTTATATTTAAAAGTCTTTAGTTCGTTTGGTACAGGATTCACTCGTACCATGTTGAAAATTCAATTAAGCTCCGTTTCCATAGTTGTCCATGAAAGTGTACTGTGTCCAAAAGGACAAAGATATATAAAATCTTTCATTTAGAGCTTACAATACCTTATATTCAAAAATGGAAAAAAACCTTGGATAARGTTTGGAGAGRCTTTTAARCAGCCTGCTTTCAGAGGCTAACTGCTTATGTTCTTTTACTTCGGTAAGATTAAGAAAACTAAAAAGTCCTTTTAAGAATATTATAGTCCTGGAATTCTAAAGTGGTTGGTATACACAATAGACTCAAGAATCTAAATCCGGCAGTGAAAAAATCATCGATAAAGTAGTATAGTGAAAGAAGGAAGATCCAAAGGTTTCAATTGTATTTAAGCAAATATCCAGTATTTAAAAGTATCCAGATTGTCTGATGATTCAGCGCAACAGCTAATAATTGCATGAAATTTATTTCTTTTACTTCGAGTTTGCTTCTTTACGAATTATACTTTCAGGTTAAATAAGTGGGATATGCGTTAAAATGGGATAGAATATTTGAGTGTGCACATCCCATAACTTTTGAACTTACTGTGATTGCTATTGGTATTGGAGAAGAGTGGAAAACTTCGGTTGGAAGAGCTGGAGCGTGAGGTTGGTGCTGAATATGATTTATTATTGCTGTTTTGGTTCGACGCAGACGATTTCGGTACAGGTGTTGACGCCAATGAAACGCTATTACCGTTAGCATCGTAAGTCACCTTCTTACTATTACTGTTATTTGTTGTTGTGCTTGAAAGCTTCCCATTTACTTTGGCTGTGTTGCCACTGGTACTATTTATTGCCATCTTCTTATCTTTATTACCCAAAGTGTAGGCATTCTTTGGCAGGGAGTTCTTGGAGACCAGAGGACTAATTTTGGCAGTGCCACCAGCCTTTAACGGCGGTGGACATAAGCCGTTAGTTGAAGCAGAGACCGCCAGTATGTTCATGGGTCTTTTGGGTGGTGAAGGCGGTTCGCACAGCAAGGGAGCAATTTCGTGCGCGCTCGATGAGGATTTGGTGTAAGAAGAATAACTGTAAATAAAAAAAATATGAAAATTGGTGTTAAACATTTTGAAAACGAGTACTCACCGAAATCGTGGATTGCTAATGTGCACTGGCGAAGGATGTGGCACTTTGGCTGGACTGCGAAACTCTTTAATTGGTGGCAGTCTATTTTGTAGATCCGTCAGTCGTCCCTTGGTATAACGGCGACCGGGATACGTATGTGTCGCGGGCGGAAAACTGCTGCAGCTGCTAATACTCGAACCGCTCGACGAAGAATTACTTAAAGAATTGAGTGGTTTACGCGGTATAGCACCCGAGCAGCCCGCCGGACAACCACCCGAATGTGAATGTGAATGATGGTGATCATCACGTGGCGAGAGCGAACCTGAAACGGATGAACCGGAAGGCGATAACGTGAGCGTACCATGTGATGTCGATGCGCCGGGTGGCGCCAAATGATTATTCAGCACCGGTGTTTGTGTATACGCTGACATGGCAGACGGTGATATGGGTGAGGCGGGCGAGCAGAGACCACTCGAAATGGAAGACGTCTTAGAGTAGGTGGACATATGTGAGACACCCGACAGTGACGACGAACCCGTCGAACTCATCGAATATAAGCTATCCGATTGTGCAACACGTCCGCCACCATTCGGACTGCGTGGATAGCGACCATGCAGCGCGGGATGTGGATGGAAGGCATGGTGGCCGCTATGCGCATCGCCCATCGAATAGGAACTGGCCGAAGCGTGCACACCACCCGCACCGACACCGGCGGAAGCCCAACTTTTGGCACCCATGGAATAGCTGCTCGCCGACTCTTGTATGCGCCAAGTGCCCGAGCTGGAGGTGAGGCGATTCACACGCGCACGACAAATCACACAGCGCAGTGGCAGCAGTCGCTGTGCTACGGCACTTTGTATTGTCTTGACAAAGCAGCGACGACAGACGACACGATGGCCGCATGGTGATGTTTGCATGGTCGCACGCGCATTTATGCAGATAACGCATTCATCCTCCTGCGAGGTTGGTGGATCCGGTTCGCTTTCCTCCAGTTTGCTCAGTAATTTGTCCTAGAGGGAAGAGATAGACAGAGAAAAATAACGTAAGTAGCGACTTAGTAGTATGTAATGTGCATAAAAATTTTTCTAACAGCGGCGCCTAAATGTAGGCAATCTTTTGCATATAATAAATAGAAGCTGAGAGACAAACGTTGCTCAGTGCTTATTATCTCTTCACTTAAGAGAATGCATGTAAGGTAGCTGTAAGAAAATAGTTAAATGATTTTTTTTGCAAAAGTAACAAAGACAATACAACAATAAATCAATGGCGTTGCTAAAGATCGCTTATTTTCTTTAGTTTATTGTTGCCTTTAGTTTTTATGACTAATCATTGTGGATTTTTATGTATTATATGGTATTAGCACTTGGCTGGCACTCAGTCTTTTAAAATATCAGCTGGGGATTGATATTTTTTTAGGGCAGTGATTGATAGTTTTTCGGTATAATACATTAATATTTATAGTATTTGTGTGTATATAAGAACAGGCACTTCAATATATTGATGAATATGCATGTAAAATTCTGGTCGTATTATATACCAGCATTTAATGGTAAATTTTTTTTATTGCTACCAAAATAATTATTAAATCTGGCACAGAATCTGGTTCAGTGGCCGAGTTGAAGGCTAATTTTTAACTGTTTTTAATTTAAATAGTTTTTGATAACATTTTATTGTTGGAATGAATTAAGAGGCATAATAAATTAAACAGCTCCCAAAGAAGAGACGTTCCCCGTTCTACTTCCAAAACCAAATAAGCAAGCAGAAGAACCTTTATCATATCGACCTCTGTGCATACTCGACACGATTGGAAAAGTGTACGGAAGCATTGTAAGAAAATGCTTGAAGTTAGCAATCCAAAAAGCTGGCGGATTATCAGAGAGACAATACTTCTTTATAACAAGTAAAGAAGGGCTAAGTTCGGGTGTCACCGAACATTTTATACTCTCGCATGATAAAGTGATAATCAAGATTTCAGGCGTAGTTGTGAACCGATTTCACCCATATTTGGTACATGTTATCAGGGTGCTAAGAAAATATTATATACCGAATTTCATTGAAATCAGTTGAGTACTTCCTGAGATATGGTTTTTGGTCCATAAGTAGGCGACGCCACGCCCATTTTCAATTTAAAAAAAAACCCTACATACAGTTTCCTTCTGACATTTTTTCCGTAAAATTTAGTGTTTCTGACGTTTTTTGTTAGTCGGTTAACGCACTTTTAGTGATTTTCAACATAACCTTTGTATGGGAGGTGGGCGTGGTTATTATCCGATTTCTTCCATTTTTGAACTGTATATGGAAATGCCTAAARGAAACGACTCTATACAGTTTGSTTGACAYAGCTATAGTAGTTTTCGAGATATGTACCAAAAAGTTAGAGGGGGCGGAGCCACGCCCACTTTTCCAAAAAAAATAATGCCCCTCCTTAATGCAGTCCTTTGTGCCAAATTTCATTTTAATATCTTTATTTATGGCTTAGTTATGACACTTTATAGGATTTTGCCCATCTTCGAACTTAACCTTCTTATGGAGCCAAGAAATACGTGTACCAAGTTTCATCATGATATCTCAATTTTTACTCCAGTTACAGCTTGCACGGACGGACGGACGGACAGACAGACATCCGGGTTTCAACTCTACTCGTCACCCTGATCACTTTGGTATATATAACCCTATATCTGACTCTTTTAGTTTTAGGACTTACAAACAACCGTTATGTGAACAAAACTATAATACTCTCTTTAGCAACTTTGTTGCGAGAATATAAAAAGTGGTTCACTATTAATGTACTCACAGAAGTTGTTGATACTGCGAAATGTTTAATAAGTGTGAAAGATGGAAAGGTCGTTTTTATCATTATCTGATAATAACTATAAAGAGTTACTTTCGAAATAAGGGATTTCTATTCGATGCGGACGAGGGTACTCAAAACTACACTATCTCCAGTGGAGTACCGCAGGGCTCGGTTTTAGGCCTACTACTATGAAACCTAATGTACGTTGAGTTGCTGAGAATAACAAATGTGAGTTTTCACATTCGCATATACGGATGAGCTCTTAGTGGTAGTGCTGGATAAGTAGCTGAATGACCTGCGGATTAAATGCAATGACAGCATATATGGTTTGAGCTGATGGTTTGCTACCATGAGACAGAAGTCTTGCTCATAAGCTTCAGAGAAATTAAACRAAATATAACGCTCCTCATAAGAGATTGTGAGATTATTTCACAGCCGCAGTTGAAGTTCCTTGGTGTAATAGAGGACTCAAGACTCAAACTCAAGGAGGACTTGGAAAGTACGACATGTAAAGCAAAAAAATCTATAATGCTTTATCTATAATTATGGCGAATAAAGGCTGTATGCGTTCCAGCCAACCATTTTTAATAGCTAAAGTAATGAGATCAGTTATAATGTATCTGCCCTCAATATGGTTCAATATGGCTRGACATAAAATAATATGCTAAACTAATTACCGCAGTGCATAGGCTTTCAGCAATACTCTTGATAACTATCCGAACTGAGTATTAGCCAGTATAGCGCCTATTAACATCCAGGGATATGAAGTCGCACGAATACTTATATAACTTACCCGAGACGTTTATTGCAGCTTAAAGAAAGGAGTGAATCAAAAGCATCGCCATGAGACAGCAACGATGGCAAACTTCATGCAAAGGACGGTGGACCCACGGACTGATTCCGGACATACATTCGTGGATAGATAGAAAACATGGCTACATAGATTTCCACCTGACTCATATACTCAATGGCCATGCTGAACTAAACTTAGAGGTAATCTTAAGGTGGCAAATTTGAATGAACGTGTGTGCAAGTTCTCTGTTCTCTGACTGGAAAGCTATCAGCGATGTGGCAGCTCGAATTATAACAACATTGAGACATTTACCAAAGATTAGACGACAGTCAGTTCGTACGTACAATAGAGGGTACTTAAATATCTTCTTCTCTCCCATGAATTAATGTTCTGATTTGTATATTGTAAAGGGAAAGAGTCGAGTCATAAGGAAGATGATGTTATAGTTTTCAACATAACCGTTGTATGGAAGTGGCCGTAGTTATTAGCTAATTTCACCCATTACCCTAAGTATCTGAAGTAGTGCTAAGAGACTTCTTGTAAACAAGTTTTGTTGATGTAGGAAGAATATACGTAAATTTTATCATTTAGGGTTCGAGACCATGCTCATTTTTAAAAATATTCTCAAGCTTTCAGTTTCTGATCAAGTTCGAATTTACATATACATATACTAGAGGACCCGTCCACGTTTTACTGTGGATGATATATATGTAGGTAGTACAACTAAATAATCTATTTGATTTCTATTATTTAGATTATAACTATTATTTAAGGAGATATCGCACTTTTGGTGAAGCAACTTGTTTCAGTTTACAAAAAAATTAATATTATGAAACGGTTCTTTTGCATGGCAAAACAAAAAATCGGCTGGCAAGGTTATGGCATTAGTCTTTTGGGATGCCCGTGGGATATTATTCAACGAATGATTACTGAGCCAGTTTTAATTCATTGCACTGTGCATTTGGTTGCAGTTCTATTTCACTATTCCCAATATTTAACAATTTTATTATTTTTTAGGAAAGATCAGTTGGAAATATATATACTTCATCGTTACCGTTTAAATATTGCACTGCTCTGTGCAATGCTTCGAAAAGATTGTTGTATATCTCAAATTATAATAGACCTTTTTATCAACACTTCAGTTATGCTGCTATATTTTTATTCTAGATATGGTTTGTTATGAATGCATTTGCGTCTTTCGCTCACAATCTAACAAAGCCTCCGCAAAGCCTTGACGACACGCGTTAGCATGTACGAAAAAAATGTAATGGCTACCCATAGATGTACTGAATCGCCCAATTTATTAACTTGAGAAGGAACCACCCTGTCCACATTATGAAAACTTGCTACTGGTCTACAGATGTCGCCTTTTAAGGTTTGAATATTGGATACTGCGATGGTAGCGCAGTCTATGGGATCCAAAATAAAACATTCCAAAATTACCAATTAATTACAAATGAAAAATTAGTTTCAAAAAACATTTGTCAGTGGATCAAATTTTGAATCCAAACCATTCTCGAATCTCCTTGAACACACAAAAAAAATTTCATTAAAATCGGTACAACCATTTAGGAGCAGTTTAATTACAAACACACGGTCAGAAAATTTATATAGATGTGACCTGGTCTACGGAAAGGGGGCTTAGGTGTCAAAAAATCTTAGTTGATTCGGATGGAAGATGAGATGCTTTTTCACGTGATAGAACCCAAAAAGTCATAAACTAGTTTTCGCAGGTTAGCTCCCTTTTCGTAGACCAGAAAGAAAGATAAATTTTTTATGTATGTTGCTCATAACTACAATTTAGGACGATCTCTAGGATGACCCAGGGAGTGTTGCTGTGACGTCTGGTGGCGATCGGAAATTTATTTAGATTTTTAAATACTAGTAAGCTGACGTTTACTTTTCCTTGCATCGAGAAAACAATATTTCATTCTCTCATCTTTTGCTTTCAACAATTAGAACAAAGCAATAGAACGATCATAGACGGAGAGGGGTCAAGATACGAAATATCATATAATTATTTTAGTCACTTTTTCAATTGGTTTTATTTAAAAAATTAAAAATGTTTACCCAATTTATCAATATTTGTATTTTTAAGTAAATAAGCTCTAAGGTATCAGTATTTCTCAATAGAAATTAAGTATTATAATAAGAGAATAAACTCTTCCAAGCCAATTCATGGGAGAGCAAAAAATTTACTTCTGACGAAATTCGTTTATATAGACATTTTACGTCAAAACATCAAGCCAAGTGTTGAAAAACTGGGGATTGAGAAAGATACTTTATTTTTACCAGAACAACGACCGCAAACACAAATATTTCGTTGTAGGGAAATGGTTGTTATAAAATTGTACACATGTCATAGTATTTAATATATTAAAATAAACAAATATTATTTGATTTTTAATCAATACTTCCCATTT